TTTTTTTTTTTGAGGAGTCTCACTCTATTGCCCAGGCTGGAGTGCAGTGGCACGATCTTGGCTTACCGCTCTTGTTTCCCAGGCTGGAGTGCAGTGGTGTGATCTTGGGTTCAAGTGATTCTCCTGCTCAGTCTCCTGAATAGCTGGGATTACAGGCATGTGCTACCACACCTGGCTAGTTTTTATATTTTTAGTAGAGATGGGGTTTCACTACATTGGCCAGGTGGGTCTTGAACTCCTGGCCTCAGGTGATCCACCCGCCTCTCCCAAAGTGCTGGGATTACAGCCGTGAGCCACTGCACCCAGCCGTTTTCATCCTTTTTCTCACATTTTTCTAGGATTAGCTCCCTAAACTCCTGTTTCCTAATCAATCCCTATTTACAAATAGCTTCTGGTCTACTTTAACCTCTTCAGTAGCTACAAAGTGTTCAGTAAATTAAAAATAGCCATCTACTTTGTTAAATAGAACAAAGAATTTGCTGATATCCTGAGCTTTTAATATCTGCTTCCTTCTTTCACTTAGAAAGAAGTGGTTCTAGGCTCGGCGAGGTGGTTCACGACTGTAATCCCAGCATTTTGGGAGGCCGAGGCAGGCAGATCACCTGAGGTTGGGAGTTTGAGACCAGCCTGGTTAACACGTTGAAACCCCATCTCTATTAAAAATACAAAAATTAGCTGGGTGTGGTGGCGGGTACCTGTAATCACAGCTACTTGGGAAGCTGAGGCAGGAGAATCCTCTGAACCCTGGAGGCGGAAGTTGCAGAGTCGAGGCTGTAGTGAGCTGAGATCATGCCGCTGCATTCCAGCCCGGGTGACAGAAACTCCGTCTTAAAAAAAAAAAAAAAAAAGAATAAAAGGAGTAATGTTTTGTCTGTCTCAGACTTAGATTCTTTTTTCAACTAAGACCTGCTGCAGTAAAATCTCTCATTACTGAAATTCTTTGTTTTTTCCCCATCTATTCCTCAATCTCTTCATATTGTTCACTACAGTAGTTTTAATGTTGCTTTTTGATACTCCTACATTTGGTTGCAGATGCGGATTCCCAGATTTTTTGACAAGACTGCCTCCAGCTGGCTTTCAGTTATAGGGTGTTTATAACAAAACGTCTTTTTTTGTATTCCTGAGGTTGGTGTGTTTGCTTATGTATATAAATCATTGTTATTATGTTTGTATTGCATCCATAAGCCCAAACTGTCCTAGAATGTTCACTCCAAGAGAGCAGGGTTATCTTCTTGTTCTCTCCTGGCACTTAGGTGCTCAATAAATATTTGTTGAATGAATGAATTTCAGGCCTTCTTCTAGGGCTGCCCTGGTCTCTGGAAACAGCACCTCCCTCCCAAGCTTTTTTTTTTTTTTTTTTTTTTTTTTTTTTTTTTTTTTTTTTTTTTTTTTTTTTTTTTTTTTTTTTTTTTACTTACTTTTATTATTTATTTATTTGAGATGAAGTCTCACTATGTTGTCGAGGCTGGGATCGAACTCCTGAGCTCAGGTGATCTTCCTACCTCAGCTTCTCAAAGTGCTGGGATTACAGGGGTGAGCCACGACGCCCAGCCCGAGTGTTTTTCTTGAGGGCTGTAGAATCTTTATGCTCACTTCCACTGTGACTCATATGCACTTGTTCATTAGGCATAGATAAAACATCTTTATTAAACTGACAGTGAGCAGATAAGGGACGTTGGAATGCAAAAAAATGTCAAAGGGTTATGGGAAGAAAGCAAGGAATCACTTTTACAAATGGTGGAGATGACAGAAAGATGCTTTTAACTAAAAATCCTTAAAGGCTGGTATAATTGGTATTGTGTTTGTCATTTTTATGATACCTGCATTATTCATCATGGAATTTTAAAGACAGGGCACACAGTTATGAGAAGCAGCCCTCAACTAGAACAAATATTTCCTTAGTTCAGTGCTCTTTATAAGAGGCAATAGCCGGGCGCGGTGGCTCAAGCCTGTAATACCAGCACTTTGGGAGGCCGAGGCGGGTGGATCACGAGGTCAAGAGATCGAGACCATCCTGGTCAACACGGTGAAACCCCGTCTCTACTAAAAATACAAAACATTA